GAAGAAAAGAGTTTCATCAAAAGCGATAATAGCCCTATTTCGGCGGTCGCCTCTTATCTACGAGTCATGAAGGGAAAACAGCGACTTGCGCTCAAGGTAGGATCGGAAGGAGCGCGAATTTGAGAAGCATGATAATGCAGCAAAAAAAGGCACGATTGGGAAGAAGCATATTACCATTCACAGTATTTCAAGCTAAGGCAAAGCTGAGAGGGCTTACAGAATGTCGCTAGAGACATATAGGAAATGAGGAACTAATCTTATGAGAAACTAGCCCCTTCTGTCGCCAACGAGGAAAGCACGAGGCTTACGTGTACGTTTACGACGGCGAACTAACGAGGAACGCTTATGAAGATGAGGTCGTGTGTCGCACTAGCCTTAAGAATCGCTGCAGTTAGGATGTGGAATGCCCGGTATGGATATCGTAGGGAAGTCCCACCACGTCAGTGCCTTTTGCCTAAGCAGCGAAAAGAACTGCTAATTAACAACTACGACCCTCGCCGTTGGCGGGAGTGTGCGGAAAGAACGCGCACTAAGACGAGGCCGCCGGAGGTCACACACTTTGATTAATGTATAATAATTTGCGCATATATGTATACTGCACATTGCCATATTGCACATATTGCCAAAATACCCGAAAGAAGTCAATTAGATTCATGTGGCACTGCTATTCTCTTTAATTTAATGCTGCTATTTTTACTTGTTTTTTCGAACTTTTGACAGACTAACTGAATTTGTGATGTGTGCCCGTGTGCAATTTATGATGTTCGTGTCAATTTGACATGCTCCTAGCGAGCATGTAATAAACGTAAATGTTTCATCATAGATTACTGTAGGACACTGTTCTCCATTGCATCTCCTCAGAGAACATAGGCACACGCAGAGGCATACAGACACCGCAATCCCGAGTTTCATTACATTCAATATGGTATGTTACCGATTTCCCGTTATATCAGTTGTCTTTGTATGACAACGTCATCAATAAGACTGTTTAGCTGAAAGTGTACTGTATTGTATGACGATTCAGTCTGAATCTATCTCTTGGGATGCGTACTTGCGCTAAAATTACGACAGGCACAGCATTGATGGGGATTTTGGTCGAGCCTTTTACGAACCCCTTTGGATTCTCCTCCTTTTTCAGGGGCTGCTACGTACCCCTCCCCCCCTCCATGCTCGTACGATTACGTCCGCATGCTTACTATACCCCCCCCCCCCCCGTCGACAACTATTTTCACCGAGTATAAACCACAACCACAGTCAGCCAATCCAGTGCCATTCATGAAAAATTCGTCGAACGAGGGGTATATAGTAAGAATGCGACGTACATCGTACGGCGTACGGGCGTACATAGTACCTATAACACAGAAAATTCATAAAACTCATGAAGTGAACCACGTAACTCCTAGACAGAAATACGACCCCCTCCCAACAACGACCAAATACGACCCCCCTCCAAAACGTCCGCAAAGCGAGAAAAATCAACTATAAAAATAAATTTTTCCCAGCCCAAATACGACCCCCCCCTTTTGGCGGCCTCATACGACCCCCCCCCATAGGGGAATCCCCATCGAACGCTGTGCCCTGCTAATTACAGTAGTTGTCAAAAGAGGGGTCGAAAGAATAGAAGACGTAGACTGGGCAACATCCTATTCCGTCATCTTTATTCGAGGTTGCCTGCAACCGAAAAAAAAACCGGAGACAATTCACAAGCGGGTGAACGAGACGAGGACGCAAGTGACCCGACGTCTCTCAGGTTGGGACTTAATCAGTCTTCACATATAAACACTTTCCAATCTAATGACCAAGATTTGAGGATGTGAGACTGAGTCCTCATGGTCAGTAAGCTTCTTTTTTCTGATAGTCTTCAGGACTAATCGTCAGTGAAGTAGTAGCGTGTCAAATCGGTCTTGGGGCGGCGCCAGTCTCTCTCCACAACTTATTGAACCTCCCCCTTCCTAAGTCGTATGGACCAACAGAGAACGGGCTGCCGCCACGCCAGAACCCACGTCCGAGTGACTTGAGTGATAACGACTGGCACTTTGGAGACCGCCGCACCCCTCCTCCCATCAGATGCGAATCCCCTACAAAAGACTAGATAGATTTATTCAATAATTTATTTATGTAAATTTCGCACATACATCAACATCGTATTCATTCCTGCGCTTCAACTCAAACTAATCACAGCATGGTATAACAAGTTAAATGTTATTGAAATCTTCTTTTTACTGATAAGATTTAGTACAAGCTCTGCAAAGTAAGTAACATACACGGTCATGAATAATACAGATCTTTCATAGCAAATTAACTGAGATTAATAAATTAATTTTTAGTGAACTGTACGAAATATCCTTTCGCTGCCATCACAGATCGACTTCGTATCCAAATTGTATATCTAGAAGGGAAGAAAAAGTCGATTTCATACTGAAAATAGATTATTCCTTACCTCGCTGCCCATTTATATGTCAAGTCTCTACCAGCTTCTGTGATTTTGTCAATGGAGTCAAACACCTGTAAAAGAAACTTAACAGCTGCGAAGCATGAAGAATTAATACAAAACTTATAAACGTATTAAGAAAAGCTTGAACAAACATCGGTATCGAGATCGCAGCTCCTAGGATCGTTATGAGTAAGCAGTTGGATGTCGTGTGCCTTCGCATATTCCACCAATTCCGCTGGCACCTACCAAAACATCAGTCAGCCAAAAGAAGCGAAGCAAAATTTAAAAACAACTGCTTATTTTGGGTGATTGCAAGAAGTTGTGAAAGTTATCAAAGAGAAATCAAAGACAGCTCCCGCGATAAAAGTGTCATGGACAGTTGCTGTTCAATTATGAAACAGTAGCTGGTAATTTCCCAGAGAAGGAAAAAAGCAAGAACAAGAACACCAGGAACAAAATTGCTCCCTGACAGTCACACCTCCCTGCGGTCTCTGTGCAACCCCTGGCTCACAAATCCTTTATCACATCTCCCAGTAGTGGATATCATCCAATGCAAAGAAAAGAATACGAAAACAACAAAAACACGGAAGAAAAACTCTTGAAAAGGAAAAGAAACTTTCAAAAACTCGGCGTCCGAATTTAAGGGTTACGGTAGCGTGCATCTTTTAGTGTAGTGTAGTGCGTCGAGCTTTTGCACCACGAAAATTGGGTCGCTCGTGATTTTTACGCGTTTTACCTTGCAAGATGGGTTGGATTTGACTGTATGTGCTCCTAATGAATAAAATGTAATAAAGGAGAGCAGAATCATTCATGGGCACGAGCGGTCAGCAAAAAGGGCATGCATTCCGATTAATGCCCGCCGCCCCAACAAAGAACAACTGAGCGGCCCTCCGTCGGAGGGCATCTAGCAAGTGGGCGGTCCAACTGAGCGGGCGTTAGAACTAGAACTTTCAGCGGCTGTAGCTCGCTCCTCGCTCGCTGTGGAGTCGCGAGAGTGGACAGTCTCTAGCTTGGGGGCTGTACTACTTGCACAAGGAAGGACGACCATGTACTACTTGAGCGCGGGGGCTGTCTTTAAAGAAGCTAAGAAGCCAGGAATCGAAATAGAACTCTCTTGTTTACGCCTGACTTTGCCGAAACAAAACGGACAGTGTCACGGACACTGCAATACGGAGTTGCAATAAGCGTAAAACGTGATTTTCAAACGAATATGTTCCACTATGTGGAAGGGTGAGAGTGTGTGGAGTATGTGTGAGATTTGATTGAGTGAAAACCATTTTTTCCGACCAAAGAGAACTGTTAAATATGAAACCAGCCAGCAATCTGATAAAGAATGTCAGTGAAACGAAGCCCACAGACATACCCAAACTCGGGAGGCGGTCAAGGCAATCTTAAATCACCGCTCCGTCGCGCGCGGCTTTCTTGACCGTTACCCTGTTTCAGGGATATGACATTCCACGTAGACTTTAGAATCCTAGATATTTAAGGCTATTTCCGGTAAAACATTGCCTGCAGTCACCTTCTACGATCTAGAAATACCTCAATCGCGCGCGAGATGTCGCACGCGATGCATACCAGCGCGGTGACGGTTGTCGTGTCGCATACCTGCCAAACTGAGCTGCAGCACGTGGACGTGAGTTCGTGTTACAAAGGAACAAATTCTACGCTATCCACTGTATTTTTGTTACATGTCAGCCAATGAATTTTAGTTGTTTGCAAAAGAGAATGGATGAAGTGCAGAGTCCCTATCCCGCAAAAGCAGTTATGGACCATCTCAAGGACTTCCTAATTAAAAACGGAAGTGGTAAAGATGGACCATCTTCTTTGTTTATTTGCGAACATTCGCAGAAAAGAATATTGGGAAGACCAGTCTTAATGAGACTATGTTCGTGTAAATTGTGTACAAGACCAAGATAACAAGTTTAGCGGTGGTCAAACAGCACCTTCAGAGCTTTCCAAGGCTTCAACGAAAGCGCTAGGGCTGTGTTCATAATTTGTGTCAGTACGTGCAGTGTACGGCAGCGTTTTGAGTGTACGCCAGCGTACAGAAGCGTTCCCAGAGACTAGGAAATCATATCAATCTAGCGTACGCCAGCGTGTGTCAGCGCTTACAACAGGGCAATTTTGTTCACGCTCAAGCTGCTCGTGCAAACGCTGGCGTACACTGGCACACGCTGGCACACGCTTGACGAATACCTATGCATTCTTATCGCTGGCGCTGGTGTACGCTCGAAATGCTCCCGTACGCCGACGCAAAGTATGAACGCAACCTGAGGCCAAAAGTCTGACCTAGTAGTTCGCTGTACCTCGTGGTTATGGCTACATGTACTATCCCACTGAAGAAGACCTCAAACTATGCCCAAAATTCACTCAGATTCAGCGAGGATGTTCATGAGGCGGTTCTCCTTCAGTGTTAGGGCAAGAATCCACCACAAAGTTTCGTGCGAATGCACCCGTGCCAGTGTAGACCAGATCGACTGTCCAGAAAGTAATTTGACAGAAACCTTCGCAAATCGTTCCACAAACTATTCCATAAAGAACTAGTTCAAATTATTTTCACAAGAAGCTATTTGTGGCTCTGAAAATTCTGGAAAGCGATTGTTTCAACAAAAGTCAGGAATAACAGGCAACTCACTGTGCAACATCCATCAATACTGTAATGATCTATTGTGGGTTTGTGCTCCTTCGCTTCTTCACATAGTAATCGTAACCGGTCAACGTCTAGATCAGATACTCCTGAAACAGAAGGCACTTTAGAAAATCAAATTTATCCCAAACGATTATTACCAGGGTTCGTCAGTATTGAAACATCTCACCCACTGAATGAACCAAATCCTTGTCCACAAGACTCTCCACAGCTTCCCAGACAGGACGAACTTTTTCCAGCCACTCGTTGTCGGATAAATCCTAAAATGGGACATTCAGCAAATACAGCTAACTTAAACATTGCCCAGTGAAAATCGCGCAGCTATGAGCGTTGGAGCATACGGGAGAGAAAGCTACAAAATTTTAAGGAAAAGGAAAGTAACTATACTCCCACCACAGAACGCGCTCGCACTATGAGCGGAAGGGTGACTCAAAGAGATTTCTGTGAAAGAGCGCACCAGCACCCAGTACACAACTCGGTAAAAAATTATCCAGTGTTTGCCTTTGCTCCCTCGCATGTACCACGATCGAGCCACTGGAACTAATACTAATAGCTCTAAACCACTAGGGCTGCGTTCATAGTTTCCGAAACGTTTCGAGCGTACGGCAGCGTTTTGAGTGACTAGGAAGATACAGTTATAGCGCTCTTAGCGTAAGCCGGTGTTTTCAGCGAGTGCCCGCCAAAAGTCCCCGCGGGAACGCCTAAAGGCACTTTCCGCGATAAAATAAGGCTTAAATGTGTCAGACGATTCTGGAGGCTCTGCTACCTTCAAAAAGTGAAAATCGGCAAGAACACCGCTGAAAGCTGTCCAATTAGGAACATGGGCAGCTATGAACGTTGGAGCACACGGGAGAGAAAGCGACAAAATTTGAAGAAAAGGAAGATAACTATACTCCCACCACAGAACGCGCTTGCGCTATGAGTGGAAGGGTGACTTGAAAGAGATTTCTGTGAAACTGATCTCCTTACCAATAGGCCCGTGCCGATCCCCACTAGCTGCTAGCTACTAGCTAGTAGCCACTATGCTATCTCTCTTCATTCCGAATGGTGAGAGTGAGGTGATAAGATAAAAGAGCTGATATCGTCATGATAACGACGAGTGGAAACTCGTACAAACACGCGTTCTCTTCACTGCATTCACGTACAAGCTGAAGTCGTCATGGTGTCCCATTTAGGACATTTCGGACATTTCATTTTTCTTCATTCATTTCATCACATTTCCTCTGCTTCTTTTCTGCACTTGTCAGTTACTTAGCACTTTCTCTCGTATGTGAGCTCCGTCACCCCCCCCCCACCCCATCTGTGGTCGCGGGCTCTGCCTTCAAAACGCCGGTGTACGCTGAAAACGCTATATCGATATATTTACTTTCCTAGCCGCTCAAAACGCTGCTTTACGCTGGAAACGCTCAGAAAACTGAAGTATGGACTTAGCCCAAAGTCTTGTAATTAAACAAAGAATCGAAGAAAGATAAAGCGTACCGTAGATTCGTCATAAGGGAAAGATACGATGAGCTGCGACAATGATCCCAGCTTCAGTGTGTCTAACGTGACTGTAACCGCATTTTGAACGTCGTTAGCCGAAAATGTGGAAAGGCAGACCTGAAACGCTTGAAATGAAGTGTTTGAATTAAAGGAATAAAATGTCGTTTCAACTGACCTTGAGTGAAGTTTTTACATCGTTCTTTGGATCTTGCAGTACTTCTGTAGTGGGTGAAAAGACGCTTTCCGTTAATCGAAATACTGTATTTTGTGCAGCCAAGTACTTAAAAGCAGCGGCGATTTCAGCAGCAGAATTTTTATGACGTCGAGTAACAAGCTGAAAAG